ATATTCTCTATCATAGATAAGCTGCTTGACTTGGAAAGAGTCACTCGACTGTCACAATAAGGACTCCCAGGACAATCAAGAAATTGTCTTCTTCAAAATTTGGTGGTCGAACTATTTTAAGTCTATGATGTCTTCAGTACCTATTACTGTTGTCATGAAGCATTTAGGCGTTTTGTAGCTGATAATACTAGTTCTTTTGTGTGAGGATCAGACATTAGTCCTCTACTTCTTTCTCTTTTCCTGTCATTAGAATTTTTAGTTGGCAATAGAACACATTCTTTGAGCTGCACAACCACAATTTTTATACTGATCTATAGTATGAAGAATAACCAACAAAAGGAATATCTCAACTCATATTAGGAAAAACACGGACTTATTTCTCTTTCAAAGTCATCAATTCAGTTGTTTTATTTGACCCTGGCTTTGGGGTAAGTGTACGACAAGTCTATTTGGTCGTAGACATGACTTTCAACCATTCAGGATCGCCACTGTCTGGAAAACCTGGAAAATCATGAAAAGGCAGGGAATTTGTGGAAGAATCAGTAGAAGTCAGGGAAAATTTTGAGATGGTTATAAAACTTGACATTATTTCTACCAAAAAAGAAATTAAAAAGCAAAGCATTTTTTGCTCAAGTTCTATTTGTTGTTACTTTTGAAATTTATGCTTTACCACGATGAAATCAGACAACACAAATTACATAGAAAATACAATACATACGAGCACAAATTATACAGAAAAAATGGGGGTCGTTTTTGAGAAAAAATTAAAATTGCCTATATTTTACAATTACACGAAAATCTCAAATTTTCGAAAACCTATACATGATCTTATTTCAAAATCTGAACAGTTTTTATTCAGGGAAAAAATCTATCTTCAATATTTTAGTTGTAGGAAGAAGCCGAAAAAATGAGCTTTTGCTATTCGAAATAAAGGACCCACAAAACACACGGATTCTGACCACACGTGTTAAAGCAAGTAATTTACTGTATATAGGAACAAGATTTATCCAGTTTTTCGTTACCAGGTCCCGACAATAAGTGTTTCTGTCGAAAATTCACTGTTTTTTTTGCAGCATTACAATACTTTCTTGTACTCTACATAAGCAGTAGCGAGAAAGTAGAAATGAAATCCGTTTGTCTCTATCACATTCAAGTTTTTTGTGACAGTTAAATCAATTTTTACAGTCGTAATTTTTTTGTGTAATCTCTTTTGCACCGAAGAGATTGTGATGTTTAACGTACCTAAAAGTTGTTGATTCATTTTCTCCTGAGTATTTGCCAGAGGCACTTCCCGTTGAGAGTCCATCAGTAATCTGCCAACATACTTCAGCTCCACTATCTTGACCACTTGCATGTTTGAATCCCGAATATCCTGATGGAGGCAAGAATGCCTAAAACGTTTTTCATCAAATTCTTGACTGATTTTTCTGAATCACTTAATATTTGGTAAAAATTTGAATCTCCCCGAGATCGCTTAATTTTGGTTCAGCGACCTGCCATTAAATAAGTTAGGAAATTCAATAATTAAACGCTGTTGACTAGGTGTATAACAAAAGTGTTTCATTTAATCGGTACTATTTTTGTCCTCTTTTCTATTTATTTCTTACTCTTCTTCTCTGCACTTCTCCCATCTTTGTACAAGTATTTTTATCCCGTCAGCAAGGAGTTCACATTTATCTTGTGGCCATTTTTTTTCCTTCTTTTTTTCTTTCTTTTTGTCCCCTCTTTTGTCTTAATTTCTGTGTTGTCGTTGAACTTGACTCCTTTCATTGGATCAATCATAAAATTCGGAAGGAGCAATATTAGTGCTGCACGGACGATGTTATAGCTCCCATTCCACTTTGCTGCTGGCTTTCGCCGTCCGTTGTGCCGTATGAGGTCAAGATTGTCTTCAAGAAGCCAATTCATTTTTATATCCTGCACATTTCCTGTTGAACGCAGCATTGCCTGTTTTCTCAATATTCTCTGAATAGACTCGCTTCCACGGGCATTCTGCTTTCAAGAGCCGGACATTTGCCCGCGGGTGCTGCGAAAGTGCAAATAAGGGGGGTGCACCTTTGCGGTGAGGGAAGCAGCTTGCCATTTGCACAGACCGGTCGTCACAGCACTTAGATTCAAAGCAGTTTCTCAATTTTCTGCATTCTTTTAATTTAGATATTACTCTGAATGTACCTACACGGTGTACAAAAATCAATGGATCAAATTATAATTAACAAAACCACAACTAGATAGCAAATAAAAACTACTAAGCTAGGTTACAGTGACCAATGTGCACAAATTCTTACAATTACTAATAACATGAACTGACACAAACTATTCATGCATGTGCAGAGCATTCACTAAAGTTAACATAAAATTATTTACGGACAACTTGCTGAAGGAATCGTGGGACACAGTTTATAACACTGTTGACACAAATGAAAAATATAATATATTTTTCTCAAAACTTTCATTTCACTTAAACGCATGCTTTCCTCTCAAAAAGGGAAAATTAAATATTTTATGGAAAAATAATACTTGGATCACACAAGGTATTAGAACATTGTGTAAAAACAAACGTACGCTTTACTTAATTTTACTCAAGAAAACCTGGGCATATAATCTTCTCCCCCTTACGTCACATACAGCTTTTACTGTTTTTGACTAAATAAATGTAAATCTAAATGCCTGGGCATCTATTGCAATGATCCAGGCTGTAGAATAATTTGCCCTCTTACTTGTATTTAAATGGGTAATGTCCCTTATTTCCAGCTACAAGGACCATACTTCGCTATTTATGTTCGTCTGTGCACTGCTATGTAACGGCAGGTTTTCCTTCTTTTATTTTTTATATTTTTTTAGTTAATGCTCATTGTGATTCTTAAACGATATATTCAATCAATGACATTTTAAAATTTCTTGTTTAATTTTAACAAAATTGTGTAATGTAATAATTGATTTTCACCGGTAAATTTATATTCTCCCAATGAGAGCAAAAGGAAGGAAATTATTAGAGCAATCTCTCCTTTCATGATTGACATAAAAATGAAATATAGGCATGGAATTCCAAGAAGACATAGAATTTTTGGCAGCACATGTATTGTGACCATTTCCCCCATTATCAATCTGAATGAGATATACCAACAAGCAAACGACTGACTGTTTGTTATGGGCAATCATGAAATTATTATTGCTAAATGCTTTAGTTGCTCCACCTTGCTAGCTCTCTGGCACAGGTACTTGGAAATGACAAATCTTCTCTCTGCAAGATTTTTAGCTTCTTACAAAAATCTGACATTTACAATATTATCTAAGAGAAGAGGATTATGCCAATTATTTGGCTTGTAATTGGAGATTTTAAAGTGTTTATCTCTGTCTTTTCTGCCAACCCTTTTTTAAAATAATTGTACACATTTATTTTTAATTTTACTTACATTTTATCTTGCATAAAAATGATGAGGTCTGGCACCATTGCTCTTAAAAAATTTGACACAGGCACCAATGACCTTAGCTGTTAAAGCGCCCTTAAACCTTAATCATCATCATCATCATCATCATCATTCACCTTGCTAGCTTTTTAGCACAGGTACTTGGAAATGACAAATTTTCTTTCTGCAAGCTTTTTAGCTACTTATGGGAGTCTGACATTTACAGCATTATCTGAGAAAGCATTGCAAAAAATACTGCACTCTTTTCATCATCACGTTTTTCTCGTATGAACCCTCCACTGTTAGTGCTGCTACCTGCCTTCTGCCAGGGGTTAGTGCACGTTTACGTCACACGTAGGTGGTGGTCACATTGTGTTGGGAGTGTGTAATATTTGAATAGATTAATAACACTTCGCACGGTTGCCAATTAACACGTTCGAAAGTATCATTCATCTGAATTAAGTGTTTCCTGCTCTAAAAATGTTTAAATATTGAATAGCCCACGTATTTGTTATGTACTTGTTAAGTTATGGAACAGCAACTTTTTTGATTTTTTTGTATGTAAAGAACTGTTGAACTGTTTAAATATACTGTACTGTGTTATTGGAGTTGTTGTGAAGACGTTTTTGTTAAAATATGATTTGGTGCAGTGTTATAAGAGATAGTTTTATTTATTGTACATGAGCCATGTGCATGATAAGCTTTTGAAACGTTTTGTATGGTTTTGTTCACCTGCGTGTTTTGCTTCTAAATGCCACTAGTATTATAGTACTAATATTTATAAAACTTTGATTGATAGCAGGGTTGGAGTTTTCATTTAAAAATACCATAGAATTCTGCAAAAGTGGGTCTTTGACAAAATATGTGTTGACAAGTTTAATAAAAAAAGTATCCATCTTCCTTCTGTTGCTCAAAGTTAACGATACAATCATGGGGATGATGGAAATTTTCTTATAGATGATTCAGTATACAAAGTAAAATAAACGGACTCAAAAAAATGTATAATACCCTTGAAATTTTTTTTTTCTTGGCAAACTTGAAAAAAACTTGAATTTGAAATTTAAGTTTTATCTACATCTCTGTTTGAAAATCTTGAGTGCTGAAAAATAGAGAGAGCACTATGTGATCCTCTGCCAGTAATTGGGTTTATTCATGTTAAGATATTTATAATATTTTACATCCTGAATGAGAATTTTCAATTACCATATGAAATGTAAAAAATCATAATTGTAGCAATAAGTCATTAGGTTGAAATATTAATTAAAAATAAAATAAAAAAAATAAAAAACAAATAAAATAAAAAAAAGAAAGAAAATTTCATTCGACATATATCTCATTTTTTAATAATTTGTATTGGAATGTTTCACAGAGAATAATTTTACACATATTTTGTAATTGAACTTTTTTTATGAAATAACTTGCTGCTGGAGTGCTTTGAGAATATCATTTAATTTTTGTTTCTGAATTGTGCGGGAAACATTTCTAAACTTGTTTCTACTCATTTAATTGCAGTACTGCTATTGATGTTAAATAGTTTTTAAGGAGTGAATGTTGTAGTATAACATTTTATACTCAGTGTGGAACTTCTTCCAGGTATGCACTACAGTTTTTTCAAGAGTCTGAAGATGAAATCCGTCAGAGAAAAGAAGAAGCATTTTTACCATTGACACCTGCTCTTAACGATCTTGAGATCGCTGCAGATAATTACTTTAGTGCTGATGTGGAATTTCCTAAAAGACCTCCGTGGAATTATGAAATGTCTCCACAACTTTTAGAACTTCAGGAACAACGATATTTTACCGTAAGCTATGATTTGTTACAGGATTTATTGTTATGAGTAATTATAGTAGTTAATTAAACTGCCATTCTTTGTAATTTGCAATGCTTTATTTGTTTGTAATTTCAAATGTGTGCATATTTACACTTCAATTTGTCAAATAAAAATAATTGTTTATATGAAAGTTGCATGTATAACAATAGTTAGAGCCCGGAAGTTCAGGCACTTATTTTACTTAAAATAGGCAGGCCAAAAGAACATTTATTGTTACTAAAATAAGCATACATAAAGTAGGCATTTATTATTCTTCCTAAGATAGTGGTACAGAAAAGCAAGTAAAATTTGACCCAACCTCCTACTAAAGAGAATATGAAAGGAAAATAATTCATGTTAATTTCAATTATTCAAATGTTTATTTTAATGCTGAAACGTAGTACATCAACATTTACATTGAAACTTGTTTTATTGGTTACATTTAAACACAAAATATTTCTTCAAATTTTCTACATTTAAAATTGATTTTGTGTTTAAAAGAATATCCTTTCTACTGAAAATGACATTTTACTTCAGCCGAAGGGATGACATTTATAATGCAGGATCAGTAGAATCATATCAATCAATTTTATGTACATCACTAAGAATGCAATGTTTCCCTCCAAATAAGTCTTCGCTCGTGCCTACGCACTCAATGAATTTAAGTAGCCTCTTTTTTCGGTAGAACTTTACGTTACGTATTTTGTGGAGACAATTTGCGTAATATACAGCTGTGGATATCCAGGTTTCCCATGTGGTCAATATGGGCTGTGGAAGAGAAAACCTCGGCGCTTCATTTCTAAAAATCCGGGTATGGGAAGGAGATTTCAAGAACGCATTTTATTTTTTCGCCTTACTATCTACTTACGTAAAGAGAATGTATTGTAATGTTGCGGCAGAAATCGGCGATGTTTCGACAGATAAACTCGTTTTTTTTTGGGGTCTCTGGGTATTGAAAAAGTGGTTTAACCTTGTGCCTAGATTAAGTAAATTACTTACTCTAAGACGTTGTGAAATAAGGGTCCACGTTTTGTGGGTCCTTGATGCCGAAAATTTGTTTCATAAACAAATGCGTCAGCCCGTCCGTGGGCAATGCAACGCTTAAATGGCTCAAACTATTTTGTCCAAAATTAATATTCCCATATCGATGTGGACGAACTTGAAGCTCTGTGATTTTGAAACGGATATTTTGATATTTAGAAGTATTTTACATAAAGCCTTAACATTTTTAAACATTTGTCAAAAATGGCTCCAAATATTTCAGTTAACTTTTCTTTCGGATAGCCCATAGGATTCTTTAAAATATGATGCAGATTGTATTTGCGGTCATTTTTCGAAAATTGCAAATGATCAAAAATTTTCCGCAGACTTTCTACAATATTAATATTTTTCCCTTCATAAAATGCATTTTGAAGACGATAGATCATGTTCTGTTTTTTCGAAAATATGAGTAGTTTTCGCGTAATTTTCTGTGAAATTTAGGCCATTTTTAAACAACTATTTTCTCCAAAACTGTTCCAAGTTTTTTCTTTAATTCTTTCCTCGTATGTATCAAAGGACGGTGAAAAGTCTGTGTTGTTCCCATTTTCAACGAACTCGATAATTGCAAAAAATCAACGCTGGAAAATACAATATTGATGATAGAGATTTTTTCGTTAATGAAATCTATTCAAACAAATGAATGGATGAGTGAAAAAACACTACTAGATCAGGAAGTTCATCCTGGGATAATAGAAGTTGTAACTTTTGATTAGATTTGACAAAAACTATTGAGTATTAAACAATTTTCATTTCACAAATGTTCCAAGTCATACAAATATGTCCTGAGGAAAAATTGCGATAAAACCTTTATTAATAATGTGTTATAATTTAAACAAAACTGTGGACTTGTACAGTTTTTCATCTCATTGAAGATTTACCAACCAAAATAACAATGTACCACAATAACAACACATTTGATTGTTGAAAGTAATAATGAGTAATATAACAGGGGGTCGTCCAAATTTTAAGTGGAAACTTTTAATAGAGCTCATGTATTATAACCTTTTCCTTTTCAAGAAATTTTTCATAAACAGGCTATGTTTTAATGTCGACATAAATTTCACTGAATCTGGTGAGTCGTGTTCGATTTTCTTTGGAAAGGATTCTGTGTGTTGTTTGATCTCAACCAAATTTTCATACTTGATAGCATGTCTGTTATTATGCTTTCTTCTTTTGGAGGCAGATCTGACTAAAGAACTCCTAACAGTCATTGAACCTAAATATGTGATATTTTTTTTTAGCTCGTCTCTTTAAACTTGATTGCGAATACATTCTTTCAACGCAAAATAAAGAAAATTAGTGTCTCTAAGCGGAGGGTTCCCCTCACCTCGGTCTTCAGTTCATTACAGGCACACTCTCGATCAGTAACAAAACAATTACATCAGCCCTGTACAACTGGCAAATAACAAATGTGAACTATCCGCTGCCAATAACCCAAGTCGCCAGACTTTGAAGTCCTGAGTAGAAGAGCAGGCTCTGTTCTTGCATTCGTCAAAGAGGTTGCCTGATTTGAAGTCAAATGCCCTCGTATTGAACTCTTTTCAGTCTCAACATGTAGTTCCATGCTTTCTGCACTAATTTCTGTAAAAAAGGCAGTTTTCGCGTAATTTCTGCTTGAAGTTAACGAAATTTATAAAAGAATCTGGAAAACAGCTTAAATGATTTTCTTTAGTCCCCTCTCCCCTTGGATAGTCCATAGGACGCTAAAGGCGCCGGTCTCTCGTTGAAAAGCCTGAATTTTAAAAAAATAACAAAAGTTAAAAATGATGCAAGAAAGTACGTGCTGTTAGTGCAACACTAGTTTAGTATTTGCAATCTATATATTCTTTTATTCAACTTCAAAAAACCAGTTGAAAACTGAGACGTACTAATCAACTTGTATACATTAGAATGCATATCTCTAACTTCAGAAGTCACCGTGGATTAAATACGTTACATGAGTATTCGAGAAGAGTTCTTTCAGCACTCCAGTTGTTTTCTTCATATGTGAGACAGCGTCAGTGATAACAATTGATCATTATCGTGGCCTTTAGGCCACAGCAGATGTAAGGAATTTGTGAACAATTGAGCAATATACGAACAATTCACTTTCTTGAATTCTTCAGATGGAAAAGGTTGAGAACTCGCAGTAAGAAGGTTCCGTGATACCAGTGTTCCCTTAAGCGGAAGGGATGTGGTAGAAAACATAGAAATACAGAGAAGGGGATTTTTTGATGTACCTGTTCATATACATTTATATCATAATTTGTTGTAATTTTCTGTGTTTGAATTTCTCCCCCCAGGAATATGTTTCCAATTTGGAGAAAGAGTGTAAAAACATTAGCTATTTTGAGCTGAATTTAGAAACATGGAGACAATTATGGCGAGTGCTGGAGATGTCGGATGTTATATTGTTTATTGTGGATATTCGGTACTCGGTAAGTACATTTTTAAGGTGATAATTATGGTTTGTGTTTAGTAGCATTATGTTAATTTTCGTTTTCAAATTTTAGGCCTTAATGTTTCCACCATCATTGTATCACTATGTAACTGATACTTTAAAGAAAGATTTTATTCTTGTTTTGAACAAAGTAGATTTGGCTCCGCCACCCCTGGTTGTGGCATGGAAAAATTATTTTATTGAGAAGTTCCCTTCTTTGCATGTTATAATGTTCACATCATTCCCGGGCTACAACTTACGAAGTAATCCTCAAAAAAAATCAGGTATGTTTGAAAATATTTACATTAATTTTCTATTTGAACCACCAAAATTTACATTTCCGAAGTTAAAATAATATCCTTGTTGGGCAACAATTCCCCATTTACATGAGCTGTGGACGGATTTACCACTAATATACCATATATTATATAATATATAATAAGATATACCACTAATGTTTAGAAGAGTTATGATATTATATAACTATGATATTATTTTAGATTGCTTCAATGTGAGGAAAACAGTGAGATTATTCCTCACCCATATATTCTGACCACAACTCTAATCCTTTCACATTGCACGAAAATAATTTTAGTGACGGACAGCTTTAAAAAAAATTGTGAAAATGAATTTTTCTGTACAATGATTTTAAAGGAGAAAATACCATACTGGTATTATAATTCATAATCGTTGCCTTCAAAAACTGTTTTTTATAAAACATATTTAAGGCTATTGAATAGCTAATTACAATAGTCTAAATTAGTAAACCAACACCCCAAACCTATGAATGACAAAATCACAAAAAATTGGGCGCATCATCACAAAAAAATCGCATACTGCTTACGTAATATAAAGAAAGCATTGTAATGCTGCTGGAAAAACTGCGATATTTCGACAGAAACCTCTTATTGCTGTATCCTGGTCACGAAAAAATGGATAATTATTGATTCTTTACGAATTTGTGGTAAATTACTTCCTCTAACACATTGTGTAGTCACAATCCAAGTTTTGTGGGTTCGTAGTACCAAAAACTCGATTGACAGCATTTTTTTCCAAAATTCATATCCCCTGGATGATCTGAACAAACTCGAGACCTTGCAAGTTCGAATACAATTTTTAGAAAAATTTAGTTCTCCAAAATTAAATCTTTAAATCAAGTAGTGTACATTTTTTTTGAAAATATGAGCAGTTTCGTGTAAATTTTCAAAATCGCTGATTTGTATTTCGCACTCTTATTTTGCTAAAATCTTCAGGAGTTATTTGGTTGCAATTCAACGATGTAAATGTCGCCACACAGCAGTTTGAAATGCTTATAGTAATTTCTCATTGTTGTGCTATGTTTCCGAATATGCGCTAGTGTGTGTGTAAGCACGCATACGCACGGAGATTTGTCAGGGGTCTAGAGCTTGTCCCAACTGGGGTGGTGCCCCGCTGATGGGAAATACATGGTTTGGGGAACCTCCCCTAGCTGACAGTAGGTTGGTGCTGAATCTCGCCATACAGTGAGGTAAAGATCACTGCTACATCCCGTGCAAAACTGCACTACACTTACGGGACACTGGTAGTTGATGTGCCTGGAATCATCCGATGTCTCCCGCCTTTTAAATCGTTTCAAATAACGGCACCTGAGTAAATTGTGGTTTTAAGTTCTCCACCTCAAAACCCAGCTGCACACTTTTTTGCATAATCCATCACCTCCATTACCATCCCGATTGAGGGCCACGAACGTCCTTTTGTCGAATCTGCAACTTTCCAACAAAAAACTATTTACATTAATTCTGTGTGCTTTCAGGAAATACAGGTTTTTAGAAGTACCTGGACCACTTAGTCACTCTTGCCTCAGAGATTTATACTTCTTTCGTGCCACAACACCTTGTAGCAATTTTTTTACGATTTAGAGAAAGGGTATGACACCACCTGGAGGTACGGAATCCTTCGCACCTTACATTCTTTGGGGTCTTAGGGGACGGCTCCCTTTGTGTAAAGTAGCTTTTCTATTACCGAGAACTTTGCGCATCTGCCTTTGTGAGAGGATATCCTCCTGTTAACAGTTAGAAAACGGGGTTCCCTAGGTATCAATATCTGAGTGTCACTCTGCCATTGCTATCAATACTAGAGCATCAGTAATTTGAGAGCCTGTGAAAACATCGCTATTCGTTGATGACTTCTCATTTTTTGTTCCTCCGAGAGCATGCAAGTTATTGAGAGGCAGATACAACTTGTCTTCAACTTGTGTCATCCCCCCATTATCTCTCCGTGGCAACCCTGGCACTCTGATGGAGTGTCGCCTTGTTGGGCTCTGTGGTTAATCTGGATATTTTTTGTGCAAAGAGTCGGACAGACCAAAAATCGTCATGTGTACGCATGTTTCCTCACCATTGTGTAGTAATGACAGAGAAACAATGAAGAGTGTAAGTGCTATTAAACTCACCAGAGGAATATAATAAAATTGGCAATTTTCAGGTGGTGGTTCGACAGAGTAACTGCACGATCCTTTTTGAATGCCGTACTAACGAACAGAACAAGAAAATCGTGGATCTAAAAGAAAAAGCCGGCTTCAAGATGCATTTGTCCATTCACCCTACCTTAAAACTTCTGCAAGGGTGTGATGAATCATGCAGATTTTGCATCTATTTATTTGTTTTATTTATTTACGTCAAAAACAGTTAAAAACTGTGTGACCTGCTATGGGGAGAAGTTAATAAGAAGCATCGGAAACGGAAGAACTGAAAGCCTTCTTTCAGACTGAAGGTATGACTGACATTTACAGGATCCAGTGGAGAGTGAATGGGATATTCACCTCAACGTTGATACTGACCTTCCATCGTCCGTCTCTTCCAGAGAAAATATGGAGCTACTACAATCTCCATGTCAGGCAGTATGTACCAAATCCTCTGCGCTGCTTTAAATGGCAGAGTTTCGGCTGTATGCAGCCCCGTTGCATGAGTGTGGCAGTGTGTGTACAATGTGGAAAAGAATCAATAACAATTCAAACTGCTGCGCTGATCCAAGGTGCGTAAACTGTTCTGCGAATTGCCCATCGAATTCGAACCAGTGCCCCATCTTTTTGAAAGAGGGGCTCGGGAAATCGGGAAGTCTTGGAGAAAGTTACCTTTCTCGAGGCATGATGTCGCTGTTGGACGCGCAACCCTGTTGTATTGTATGTATTGAAGTTCAACTTACACCGTGGGTCAACAGCAGAAGACATCAAATGGTGAAATCCAGTCACCAAAAGTTACCTCTGTGTGCAATGCTGTCTTTTGAAGACTTCAGCGAAGATGCAAATACCAGATACCTTGCCCCCATCTGAAACAATGAAGGAAACGAAAAGTCAGTGTTTTGACAAACACACAAAGGCATCAAACTTAGAAACCGATGTGTTAATAAAAATGGTCTCAACAATTCGACTTTCTCTAGCAGTAGTCACGACAACTCTGCTAGAGCCCCACATGAACTCGTGCACCACTCTTCAACAGGGCAGGAAAAAGAAGAAAAACAAACCTTACCAAGAACCCCCTAGAAGCAAAGAATCAACCCTAGCAATTACGGCTCCTCTCATGGAACCTCAATGGCTTTCGCTCTCGTTTAGGCAAATAGTGATACTGATAATGTCTCGGCTTAGACCCGTTGTTATCGGTCTGTGTGAAACACACCCTGAGCATTCCCTCACTCTTTGTGGCTTTTGATGCTATAGGCAAGATATTGATGATGGCCTCTGGGCACATGGCGGAGTTGCTACATATGCTACAGACTCCTCGGTGTTCAAAGAAATAAACGTACAAACCACTTTTCAGACATCTTGTGTTCGTGTGAATTTCTGCACCATCTTGATAACTTGTTGCAACATCTATATCCCGCTTGGGCAAGTTGTGTCGTGAGATGAATTTGAAGATGTGTTTTCTTAGTTGCCCACCCCTTTTCTTATTGTGAGGGACTTTAATTTCCAAAATCCCGCCTGGGGTGGCACAAGGACCTCCTCGAGAGGCAATATACTTGAAAATATTATGGACAACCTGAACTTAATTCTTCCAAATTCTGGCGAAAGCACAGATTTTTCCATGACTTCAATCACTTTCCCGTCCGTCAATCCAGACAAGTCGCCCAGAATGCTTCTTGGCCGAGGCTGCTGAACCATCTCTGAGCTGAAGTTCTGATATTTTGACCAGCTTCTGCGTAACTAACCGCTGAAAGGGGTCGTTCATAAATTTCGTATCGCTAGAGGGGGAGGGGGTTTGAGGAAGCGTTACACTGCGTTACATGGGAGTAGGGGGTGTTAGTTTAGTGTTAAGCAGATAAGTCTTTTAATTTTCGTTATTTGCAGAAATAATTGCTTTCCTTTACTCTTAGGCGAAAACATTAAAATATTAACAAATCAAATTAAAAATATAAATTAACGAAGTAGTTATGATGTATAAAGGTTTACAACAAATTCAAGATATACTTTCATCAGTTATATATTGATTGAATCTTACATTACTAAGAACATATTCGAAACTGATCTGTAGTATATTCTAGTACACAATTAAATTGATGCAATAGATTCTCGCCCATGCGTACTCCAGGACAAAATGCCCTTGCCAGTGCTTGGATCCCTCCTTCCATCCTTTACATAACAATGGTCCCCAATCTTATAGTTAGGTGCGGTCAGAATTGCCGATGAATTTTCACTTTAATTATTAATTATAATATAAAATACAAAATTAATGATAATTGTTTTCATTGCTAGATAAAATATTTTTAATGTGTGTGGGGGGCAGGTTCAAAAGCGTTTCGTAATTGTTATGGGGGGTTTAAGAGCATGTTACAGGTGTTTGACAGGGGGAAGAGAGAGTATTCAAAATATCCTAAATTTTCGCTATGTAGTTTATGTACTCCATCACGCCAAGCAGTCCTTCACCCATCACCAGACATTGTACACACTTACATCTTCATTACCCCATTCTCCGGGGATCCGTCTCTTCATGCTTTTGCAGAATTTTCGTACTTAAATTCCCGATCCCTGTGATCTCCCCTCCCTGAAGTCTTGTTTCCTCTTCTCCGGTCCAGAGTAGACCTGAATTTATCAAACTTTCCCAAATCCTCAACTCTTCTCAGTACATTTGTGACTGAATTGCATGAGAGATTTTAGGTAATTTCAACCATTTAACGCCATGAAGAACACATTTCAAAATATTTTAATTGTTTGATATGTTTATGCTTATAAATTCTTTACTTTCAAATTCCGTCTGTTTTGAAAATATATTGTCTTGATGTTCTGACAATCTGTGGGACCAAACTTGAATATTTAAAATAAGTTTTTAAAAATACCATCAACTTTAATGGCATTCCAAATCTATTGAATTTCTAGAAAAGTAACATTCTGATGTAAAAAATAGTATCTGACTGTTGTGTGGAATTGAGGTTATAGGGTTTCAAGGAGAGAGGGTATCTTCTAAATGGTCTTTTGAACAGACAACATTGAACATTGATACCTTAAGGCATGAATAGTTTGCCCCATAGTGGTAATTTTTTCAAAATTGTTAGTGTAGGGATGGGTCGTAGTAAGTAAATAAAATTTGTATAATTGTGTCTTTAAAGGCATGCTATTTCATACATCAGTATGATGTCCAGTATATATTATATCAGAAATGTAACTGGTATAGCTTTAAATGAAAAGAGTTACAATTTAAAATTTCGTGGAAATAATTTCAGTACATGTTCAATAGTGCATAATCTGATTTACTTCAAAGGTCTCAAAGTGTGTCGACTGAAGGGAAGAATGCGGATGGCTGCAGAAGGAGCTCAGAAAGTCCTTGATGTTTGCAAACAAATAGTGGAAAATGAAGGTAATATTCATCTGGTTCATTGTGAAATAAGTTAAATTTTGCATGCTGTCTTTCAACTGCTTCACCTTGTGCCCTATTGAGATAAATGGAATTTTTTAATTTTTACTGATTTTGACATTAATTTTTGTTATTTTCTCAATGTATTCACCTTTTTGTTTTTTGTTCCTGCTTTGGTTTATGCTCTTTACTTAACAAATCCATTCCAGTAAAATGTTCCTTTTTCACGAATTATAAATGATAAAATGCTTTTGACTAAGACATTCATATACAAGAATTAGAATCTCTAGCACATTTATTGAGAACACTAAGAGTCTGTTTCATTCTAAGACTCAGTCTCTCCCCCCCTTTTTTGTTTGTCTACTTGTCTCCCTCCTGCTTTTTGTTTTTGTTTTATCTTTTTTATATTTTTTTAAATTGCAAAATTCGTAATTATTGTGTACTGTTTGTATGTATGTAATGATTCATTTGTGAGAGAAGTGTGAGTCAGTTGTCAGTCAAACATGTTAAAGTCCCTATTTCATTAGTAGAAAGAAAAAAATTCATTGTACATACATACATGTTCTGTCATCTTGGCAAAATTCATTCAACTCAACACAGAAGGAGAGTGCCTAACAGACTTTGACAATCCAAAAATATTGAATCTGGAACCCAATTATTTCTATAGGTTGTTGATGGAAACTAAATGTCAAACTCAACGATGTATGCAACACACAAATAGTGACCCATCGTTTTGGAAATGCATACGATAGTATTCTTTCTAGGATAAACGATAAATGAAACTCGGTTATTTTTTACAACTCTAAATTGATTGCATATATGATTGCAAAATTTTTTCCTGATATTGGCTCAGTAACTTTTATTACTTTGAATTTTACTATTTTAAAAGTTTTCCATCCATAACTTGAGACCCGCCATATAAAGTCAACCCAGCTCATTACATATCTTGTACTGATGCAGTTGATACATTTTGCACTCTTCATCCCCTTGCTGCTAACTCCTTTTCATTATATGAAAAATTTAAGTCTCCACTCCTACTTCCTTAATCATTACAAACTTCATGTAGTTGAATACTTAATGTAATTATTTTTTATGTTTGCCGAATTAACTTCCTCTGTACATTTGTAATTAATAAAACATGTTTCAGTTGATTTAACTTCATGGCAGGAAAAAATAATAGAAGAAATGAAAGAAGAATGTGAGATAGAGAAAGTGAATGTAGCAGAATATATTAATGTAAGTATTATCATTAGTTATATAACAATATATTTTCAGTATGGGAATTATATCTTGATGCTACTCAAAATTTGTGCACAAATTGAATGAACAATAAATTAATTTATTATTTTATATTATGAACTGTCTGTTGGATTTAATTTCAAAAAACTACAAATCCCTATTATTTATAGACAATTATACACTTATTTTAAAACACACAAAAATGAAACTTCTATTTAACTTCTGCCCATAGCATGTCGCACAAAATTATTAACTGCTTTTCACGTAAATAAATATTCTGTATGTATATATATATATATATATATATACATATGTAT